GAATCTACCATCTTGTATTCAAGTAATCGGCTAACGACAAACATTTTTGCCTTAGTGTCATCACTCTTATACTTCAGGTCCGAAGATTCCCATAGCTCTATCGCAATTTCCAATTTACAGTATACACTGTACAACGAGTCACACAAACCATTCAAAACATAGTTTAGGCATAGGAAAACAAAATATTTCCAAACCCTCACTTCGCTAACGGTTTGAGCGTTAGACTCATGTATGTTCCTTTCTACTAGGAACCATCTCGGTCAAGAACCATTACATGCCGAGAATCACTAAGTTGAACAACATTTTAAGTTGCAACCATTTGAAATTCAACCCCTTGAATTTCCACGGTCTTTCGACCAAGCCACTTGGTACCATCACAAGCACCTTCATCGTAGGGATATAACCTTTGACGCCACTATCGATCTATGAACCAAAGTTCACCGGGGTTTCGGAATGTTCAACAACGTTACTGCTCCGACCATACGAATGTGCACCACGAGCAACATTCATGCTACCACTTACAACGATAGTCGGAGCCATCGACTTAATTCACCAAAATATATCAGTTATAAGATTGATGGCTATGGCGAATAAATCGACACACAAAATATATATTTATAAGAAAATATGGAATTTAAATTTTAGGAAAATTAATTCCAACAAAATTTTGGTACGGAACCAAAAATTATATATATATAAATAAATAAATAAATAAATAAATAAATAAATAAATATATATATATATATATATATATATATATATATATATATTAAACGAGAAATGGTTTCTTAAACCTGAGGTTTTAACCCAACGAGAAAAGGGAAATTCAAGTCGTGTGTACTCACACTCTCCTTAAAATCGTTTCGTTACTTCCCGAGGGTGATAGGAGCGATGTAGCGTCAGTCTCCAAAGATAAAACGGATTATAGTTTAACGTTTGAGCACTCAAACAAAAAACCCAAAGAACTAGAACACAAGCTAAGCACTGTGTACAATATACGGAAGTGTTGGTAGAACTTTCGTTTGTAAGAAAAGAGTTGAGCGAGGAAGAGAGAAAATAGATTTTGCAATTTCAAAACCCATCAACTTCAATTTGCCCAATATTAAGGCTATTGGTAGGATAAGATCGAATAAATAGCATTTAACAATGATATTTACATCTAAAATAAACCAGATATGTAATCCCCATAACAGAAAACTTAATATGGAATTCAACACAGTCATTACAATTGTTAATTCTTTAGAAATAAATTGGAATTAATTCTAAATTAAATCCCACGAATCAGAATTAACACTTCCAAAACAGTACTCCGAGGAGTAGTTTGAGCAGTACCCACGAATGGTGGTTCGAGCGGTACCCACGAATCGTTGCCTAAAGGTTACATGTGGTCAACCATTCGGTCAAACTGAGTGGTCAACTCAAACGAGTGGTTAGGTCTGACCGAATGGTAAACTGGTTAATTAAGTCAACCGAGTGGTCAAGTCTGACAGAACGGTAAACTCAGTTTTACCTATTCGATAGTGGCTTTGAGTTGGAAAAATTATATGAAAATTTGGCAAAACGTAGTCCGCAAGGCCAGCCAATTTTTTGGACGACATTCGTGATCGTAGGTGCCGGCGTACAGCCGTACATGAGTCAAGTCTTTTCAGACTCATTTTTTGAATTTGATATGCACCCTCCCTACGCGCGAGAGATTCCTTTAAAAGGCTCTTGTATATAGAGTGGTGCAAACTCATTTCTCAAACCAATGTGGAACAAGTGCTTTTACAATTCCTTTCCCCTTCATTTACCAACTCAAATGAGTCTACTTTGAGAATCAATTTCTCATTCACCCATTATCCGTTTTGAGCGTACAATATATCAATATCTTCGTCTCACTACGAAGAACCCGAATCCACTTTAACCCGATCAAAATCAGAAGTGGACCCCACATATATTTGTACCACAAAATAGCCACTTTCTATACCCTTTAATGCTAAAATTTCAACATTAAGTAAAGAGAAGACAATGGGCTAATGCGGGTGGTTTGGTAAGGGACCACCTTGGTGTTAACGAGTTTCACTATCAATATTGTGTTGACCAGTAGCTTTATGGCTGAATTATTGGGGCTCAAAGAGGGGTTACGGCTAGTTAAAGAGAAGGGCTATGTGAATGTGGAGATTGAGTTGGATTCAGAGGCAATGATTAAAGTCATAGGAAAGGATCGGAATAATCGGATCCGCCGGTTCATCATGACCTTGACCCTCTGACTCGAGAATGCAGGAAGTTGATTGAGGAATTGAGGGAGGGTTAAAATTTTGCATGTTCGGAGAGAAGGTAATATATGTCTGGATAGACTAGCTTGCTAATGTTGGCCAAAGTAGCGACTGGGGACGACTATTCTGGAGGAACCACCAGATTCCTTAAGAGACTTGATCAAAGCGAAAGCAGGAGGCGCTTTGGCTCGTAGAATTTCTTAATGGGGAGAAAAGAAAAGAAAGTTGAATGAGAATTGAAAGTTTGATTGTTTAGACCCCCACTTAATTAGAAAATTGCTTTGTTCTTGAGTTTAAGTTTACTCCTTGAATTGTTATTGTCTTATCTCTTCTAAGGTTTTGAAAAGAATAGATAATTGTGAAATTCTCATTTGTGTATTTATCTATACCACTTCTTTGTTAGCCATACACCCTTAGCCCCATTACAAGCTTAATAAAGACTTATTTGATCTTAGCATGCATTCTTACAGTTGAGCTAATGGGAGTATGAAGGGCAAGCCTATGAGATCTTACTCATTAGTCGTTTTTTGCATAATCTCAACTAAGTATTTGTGCACACTTGATCCTCACGCACTTTAATAATTTTGGTGCTTGGTTATTGGCTTGAGAATGGGTCTTATATGCCAAACTGATTTGATTCTTGAGGCTTGTTGTCTTGTAACAAGTTGGTTGGTGGTATGAAAGGTTGTGCAAGAAAGAGTAGGAGTAATTTTTATGCTTGACTTGTGATTTATTCCTTGGTTTTGCTTGAGGACAAGCAAAGGTTTAAGTGTGGGGGAGTTTGATGTGAGCCGAATTGTACATGTTCTTAGTGTTGATTTGAGTATGTTTGTTGGGTTCAATTTCGTGAAAATGTCACTTTAATTGCATATTCCCTTGTTTTCTAATCTAGATATGATTTTACACTTGATTTGAATGTTTTACAATATTTGTTAGTGTTTTGGAACCATTGTAGGTCAAGTGCAAAAGCAATGGAAGTTCTAGGACAAGTTTGGAGCCAAAATGGACAAATGGTGTTGTAACAGCAGTTTCGGCGTGGTTCCAGTAGCCAAGATGGTACGAGCACAGAGGATTTGACGCGTCGAGAAATTCCAGAAAGTTGCGGGGTGTTGAAACAGATGTTTTGACGTGTCGAGTTTCCTGGGCGGAATTTTGGAATCTTGTGTGGAAATTTCTTAATTTATCCCTTTTGAGCTCCAATTATAAAAGGACACCTTCCTCAACCCTAGGTGAGACTTATGCTCAGTTTTGGAGACAAGAAAGAAGAGAATTGAGGGCCACAAATTGTCTTGAGAAGCAAGGAGCAAGCTAAGGAGATTTGGGAGAATCGCTTGGTTTAATTCTTGTACTCTTTTAGATTATTTGTAAACTCCTAATATTTACTATGTATTGCATATTGGCCATGTGTGGCTAATTTACTTTAGAGATTCTTGGGTGAAAAGTATTTATGAACCTTTGTGCCTAGTTCTTTAATGCTTTAATATATTATTATTTGGATTTTAACTTGTGTTACAATTGTGTTTTATATTGTTGTGCTAGTAGTTAATGGCCGTAATTACTTGTTTCGTAGCTTTCTTTGTGTCACAACAGGAGTTGGGCATAATTTAGGGCACACACAATTGCACTTAACCTTGGGAGATGACAAATATGTTATGAAGTTTAATTCTTGATTGTTGCACATCGGAAGATGGTAGTAATTAGGGATTTATTATGAATGTTTGTTCTTATATTGCTGGGTGTTTATATCACGAGAGTGAATATTCACATAGGATAGAGATTGCGAGAGTAACTCTTTCTACCGTTTGTGTTCTCACACTTATTAAACTCAGATTTTAATATTGTTCTTTAGTTTGGCTCTAGGTGATTAAATACTTGAGTCCCAAGAATCTCACTCTTTCTCAATTGTTTTCACAAACTTGCATACTTGCTCTTTTGTTTAGTTTTGCAATTAATCAACCATCATGTCTTTCGTTAGGATTAGCTTCTCGTGAATAAATTAGTAGCTAGTGATTAATATCTCACCTCTCGGATCGATAACCCGATACTCCGGGTATTATTTGTTTGAGAAATATACAGCAACCATTGTTTTCAGGGATTCTTCAGGTTCATTTATTGCTGTCAGGAAGCTTGCAAGGAATGATTTTTTTTTTCTCCAGGTGAAGCTGAAGCGATTGGTGTCCGTGAAGCTTTGAAATGGCTCAAAGATCTCCAGCTGGATAACACACAAGTTGAATCTGACTGTCTGCAAGTGATCAACGGCATCCACAAAAACATCTTACTGTCATCTTTTACTTAATGACACTAGGGAAATAGCTAAAGTTTTTTTCAAACTTATGCTTTTTGTTTGTTAAACAGTCTCCAAATATGGTAGCTCATGTGTTAGCTCGGGAAGTCTTTTCCATGTCTAGCTGTATGGACTTTTTTTCGGTGCCTTTCCCTTCCCTTGTTCCCGCTTTGAACTTTGATTTTACTTTATAGTATCGTTTTCATTCTCAAAAAACAGAGAAAAAATATTTTCCTCTTTTTTTTTTTTTTTTTTTTTTTTTTTTTTTTTTAGAAATAAATAAACAAATGATATTTGTATAATGTGAAAGTGTCCATGCAGCCCAAAAATTTATTGATCATTGGTTCATATGATACACACAATGGAACTGTAGTCTACTCCATTATTTTTGTCTTATTGAATCCACGTACATGCATTATATATATATATTATATTAATCCCTTGAAGATAGATATCATAGATAATTAATTAATTAATTAATGACTCTGCAATTGGATCGAACCTCTCCGGCAAAACCTGTCAAGACATCGATTTTGCCCATCTTCACCATTGCCGCAGCAAATTTCATTTTCCAAAGAAAATCGTTCTGAGCATTCTGGCTGACTAGGAATGCTGTGAATGGACTTGTAAGCAGAGCTTGATCTGAAGTGAAGAGGCCTCGGTTGGCCAGTAGGTTTGAGTAGTAGCTAACATCAGTTTTGGCTGGAGACCAAGGGTCCATTGACGCCACCCGGTTAGGGCTGTTGTCCCCTTTTGGACACTGCAGTTTTAGCAGCGCTGCATATAAGGGATCCAGGGTGGGGTCTTGTTTCGTTGTTAGGTTGAAATTGTATAGCCTGTTACTGAAAGAGCTGCAATGCGCCCGCCCGAGGGTGTGAGCTCCTGGATGGGACATACATATCAATCAGGCGGCGGCCCGACCAAGCCCGCAAGTCATTTTATATCACACGGAGTATTAATGATCAAATGAGAACTAGTCCAACATGAAAACTAACATGATGACAAAGGGTCAGGGGTAAATTGAAGAAGACAACATCCATCACCCCACCCATTTTATATTTTCATTACGCATTTCACCCAACCCGTCCCATCGGGTACGGGTACATACAGATACCCATCACTTATTATCTTATTAAAAATTTAAAATAATATTTAAATTAAATAATAAAATTTCACTAATTCTATTAAAACATAAAATAATACAAATATTCAAATATAATAATTAAATTGTTAATTTTTTAAAAAAACAAACTTATTAGTTTAGAACTAAAAATAATAAAATATTAGTAGAAGTTCTAGAAATTTTTATAATTAACTACATACTAATCCTTTATATATATATATATATATATATATATATATATATATATATATATATATATATATATATATATAGGGATGCACTCAGGTGCGAATAAGTGCCCAGGAAGGAATATGCGAACGAATCAGCGCGCGACACGTGTCCAGATCTAATAGCTTAAAAAAACGCGGTGGCATTTTCGTAAATAATTGAACATCAAAGTGCAAGTAAAATCACTTACAAGTGCACCTACTTTCACCTATAAGTGCATGTAATTTTACCTTGTTAGCATTCATTTCCTGCAAACATTCATGCACCTGGGTGTGTTTAATAACTATAGGTGCAATTATTTATAACTATAGGTGCAACTACTTATAACTATAGGTGCACTTACTTTCACCTATAAGTGCATGTAATTTTGCCTTGTTAACATTCATTGATATGAGTTCAGCGGGTAGTAATACCCCTGAAAACCACCCGCAAACATTCATGCACCTAGGTAGAACTACTTATAACTATTTGTGCAACTACTTAGAACTATAGGTGCAACTACTTATAACTATAGGTGCACTTAGTATTGATGCTCAGCGTAAACTTTTACTTGCACCTATAATACATTTCACATGCACTTGTAATACATTTTACTTGCACTTCGATGTTCAATTATTTACGAAAATGCCACCGCGTTTTTTAAAAAAATCAGTGTTTCTCATCCATTAGATCTGGACACGTGGACAGATAGAATCCATTCATATTTCGCTCCTGGGCGAAGCATTCGCACCTGAGTGCAATTATATATATATATATATATATATATATATATATATATATATATATATATATATATATATATGGTAAGTCGGTGGGGTTATAGGCAGGTTTTGTACATTAAACTCAAATACAACCCGGCTCATTACGAGTTTAATTTTTTACTTTTAAGATCCACCACCCACAATCACCCACAAAAATCTTATCCATTCGGAATAAATTTGGGTGCATATTCACGGGGCGAATTGAAATTGCTATCTCTAATTACTCTATGGTAGATTATATTGTGTGCATGGAATAGTAAATTGTGTGAAATCGTAAAAAAAATTGTTTGCATTCGTGTAGAAGTTCGCAAATTTTCACTTAAGAGTTGTTCTCACTTGAACAAAGCCCGAAGTTTTAACAATATATAACAAATTGAACTTCAATTTCATATAATAATCATATATATACTATACCCGAGAGTGTAACCATTTCTTCTTGCGTAAATCCCTTGAGAGCAAAGCGTAAAGTAAGCTGATCGAGGGTAGATGAAGGTGGTGGCAAATTGAGAAGGGCCTCTAAAGAGGAAGAAGTACGTCCATCTCTTCTTCCAGCAGGAACATCATAGGTAAGCCCTCCAGTCTGCAACCAAAATTATTATGTCTAGTGGAAACTGTACTTTTCGTTCCTAAGTTATATGGTAATTGTAGAATTTGTCTCTGAGTATTGGTCGTGCTCACTTTCACCCCTAAGTTATCATTGACATTACACTTTTCGTCCTTTTATTAACTTTTTGTGCTTAATTTTCGTCTCTAAGTTATACTAAAGTTGTAAATTTCGTTCCAAATGTTTTGTTAGTAAAAAGGATGAAAAGTGCAACGCCAATGATAACTTAGGGACGAAAAGTGAGCATGACCAACAATTAGGGATGAATTCTACAATTATCATATAATTTAGGGACGAAAAGTACAAATTTTTCCTTATATCTATATTGCAATAATTAATTAAGTTAAGCAGCCATAAAGTTGGAAATCGCCATTTTTTGGGTCGGAAACCCCAGTTCCGACCACTGGAGTATCCACAAAATCCTTCAGGACTATTTTCAACTACCGCATAAAGTGGTTGGAAATAGCACCCATTATTTAAATGATCGAAAAATTTGGTTAGGGGAGAAAGTGAGTGTTGCGTATTTTCCGACCACCGATGGTCGGGGTGAAAAAGTGAGTGTATGCATGCATACAACATATACAATCGAAGTTTGAAAACTAAGGGTGTGTTTGGTTCTCACAGGGGAATCGAAATCGGAATGGGAATCAAATATTTAGTAATAGTAATGAGTTTTGGTGAAAGTATTTTGCATGTTTGGTAGTAAGGTGGAATTGGAATGATTACCAACATTGATGCATGTTTGGTTATGTATGACACACTATAATGAGAATAAAGGTTTTTAAAATACAAAAATAAAAAATTAAGGCATTTGATCCAAATATAATGACATCCAAAACATCAATATAAACAAACAAAAAAAAACAAAAAAAAAACAAAATAAAAATAAAAATCTAAAAGCAGTAATCCAAACTTAAAAATCAAAATTACCAATAAGATGGAATGAAATACTCATTTTTAATTAGGGAATGTGATTTTTAATTGAAGAGGTAATCAAATTCCATAGTTACATTTTAAAAAGTTGTCAACCAAACACTAACTATGATTTTGAATCTCATTCTTGATATGTAAACACATGAACCAAACACACCCTAAGTTATACTATTATTGTACGGAGTAACTAATTAGTAGTCTTACCATCTCCACGCTATCCCTGGCTGCAAAAGCCAATATATCAGCACATGACACAACTCCTTTGCATACGGATTCCAGCCTAGCTTTTACTCTGTCAATGACCTCGAATCCTCTCAGGCTTGGATTATTTGGTGGAGAATCCTTTTCTGCTAGGTTGAATAGAGTGGAATCTATGAGCACTGACCCATCACACCCCTGCCCATGCAACATTATATCATTAAAAAATAAAATAAAAAATATTTTTTTACACTGTTAGAAATTATGAAATTTGCGATCACCTGAAAGTGATCTTAATATATAAATCAAGTTAAAAGCCTTGTTCCGACCACTTTTGGTATCCGGAAAAACCTTTGTTGCTATTTCCGATCACTTTTTACTTTCGACTTGATTTAAGATCACTTTCAGTTGGTCATAAATTCCATAATTTTCAGTAGTGTTATATTTTAAAGTTGATCTGCGGGCTAGCCCGTGGGGTCTACGAGCCAGCATTAGGCAGGCTAGGGTGAAAGAATTCTAGCCTGTGAGCTAGCCATAAAAAACTCGCAAAAATTTTAACAATCCGCATTAACACCACTAGCAGTACAAACTATTACATACCCTAACAAAGCAGTCATGGAAATGCAGGCGGAGAAGACCGGCAGCCACTCCGTTATCAAAAAGGAACGATTTCTGGACCTCATCCTTGATAATGAACTCAGCCAAGGGACACGAGAAACTGTAAAACCCAACTTGCAATTCAGCTTTTAACACAATCAAGTGACATGTAAGCAGAACCATCGTCATGGCTAAGCTGCTACTACAACAACTTAACATTCTTGAATTCATGGTTCTTTCCAAAAGAAAAATTTCACAAGTATACTGCATATGCATATGTGTGTGTATATATATATATATATATATATATATATATATATATATATATATATATATATTGCTCACAAGTCACAAATCTATTTCTTACTGTATTTATATTGATACTAGTTATAATGCACCCATTGGGTGATTAAATTAATGCCAACGCAAAAATAAAAGTAACTAGTTATAATGCACCCATTGGGTGATTAAATTAATGCCAACGCAAAAATAAAAGTAAGTAGAATATTTAGTACAATTTTTAAATATTAAATAATTGATATAAAATACAAATGATTGTTTTCAATATAATCAAAATGAATATTTTCAACTTATAATAAAAGTATAGTAGTAGTAAAGATGAGTATTATTGTAGATAATTATAATTGAGAATAAAAATGATGTCCTAATAATTTTTATATTATAATAAATGAGTTAATACTCAATATAGTCCTCGACTATAGTAGTTTTCTCAATTTATTCCTAAATGACTTTTTGTGCTCAATTTAGTCATCGACTTTGATAGTTTTACACAATTTAGTCATTTGTTAAAAATTCTGTTAGTTGTCTGTTAGAAATAGGGTCTTAATGGTAATTTCCCTCCGTCATCCCATTTGGGATGATTCCTTCTTCTTCCCCTTATTAATATCTACACAGAAATGCAAATGATTCCTTCATCTTCCCCTTATTTATTTATTTAGGGTTGAAGTTGATTTAGGGATGAAGATCTCCATTTCTGCGTGGACCTTAATAAGGGGAAGATGGAGGAATCATCCCAAATGGGATGAAGGATGAAAAATTACAATTATGACCATTTTCTAATAGTCAACTAACAGAATTTTTAACAAAAGACTAAATTGTGTTAAACCATCAAAGTCGATGACTAAATTAAGCACAAAAAGTCATTTAGGACTAAATTGAGTAAAACCACTATAGTCGAGGACTATATTGAGTATTAACTCTATAACAAATTAAGTCTTCTTTATACGATATTGATGAGTCAGTAAAACTTAAATTATTTTTTGTTAAAAGTGGCATGATTAATAGGAGGTTGGCTTATTGATATTGTCGAATAGTAAATAAAGAGTTGAAATGAAGTTATAATAAATGAATTCATAAATTTTCCTTGTGTATATAAGTGGAACCTTGATTGTTGTTATATGTGAACTATTCATTTTTGCATTCAAATTCTTAAATAGAGAGAAATTGTATCTCATACATAGTAGATGACCTTGTAATAAAATATACATTTTATTTAAAGCAATATAGATTTGGTATAAAAAAAAATTAAAATTTTTGCTACAACAAATAAGGTTTGATTTAAGTAAAGAAAAAACAATGGGCTAGTGCGGGTGACTTGGTAAGGGACCACTATGGTAGTTGGTTAACGAGTTTCACCGTCAATATTGTGTTGACCAGTAGCTTTATGGCTAAATTATGGGGGCTCAGAGAGGGGTTACGATTGGTTAAAGATAAGGGCTGGGTGAACGTGGTAGTGATTAAAGTCATAGGAAGGGATCCGTCGGCTCATCATGACCTTGACCCTCTAACTCGAGAATGCAAGAAGTTGATTGAGGAATTGGGGGAGGATTAAAATTTTGCAGGTTTGGAGAGAAGGTAATAGATGTGCGGATAGAGTAGCTTGCTAATGTTGGCCAAAGTAGCGACTGGGGACAATTATCCTGGAGGAACCACCGGACTCCTTAGGAGACTTCATCTAAGTAGATGCAGGAGGCGCTTTGATTCGTAGAATTTCTTAATGGGGGCTTTCTTTCTCATCCATTCCATCAAAAAAATAATAATTATATTATGACATTCATATTCTTTTATGATGAAGATTCAAAAAATAATAGCTTTCACTTTTTTATTATATATATATATATATATATATATATATATATATATATATATATAATTGAAAAAAACAAATCAAATTAAGTAAATATTATTATATTTTAATTCGTACCACAAAGAAGAAAAGAATTGAAAAAATAATAGAAAAAATTGAAACGAATTCTATTTCGTCTACACTAATTTAATTGTTATAATAATAATAATATAAAAACAAAATGTCATTATTATTATTATTATTATTATTATTATTATTATTATTATTATTATTATTATTATTATTATTATTATTATTATTATTATTATTATTATTATTATTATTAGAAAACTGTTAGAAAATATTTTGCAATTAGTAAGTTAAGAATAATAAATAATAGTAACTTTGAAAATATCTTTATCATTATATATATAAGAAAATTAATCCAAATTTAAAAATTATTAATTCACATTATTACATCAATATAAGTAACTAATTTGTACATGAAAAGTAAACATGTGAAAGATAGTAACTTTGAAAAATATCTTTATCATTGTATAAAAAATAAATTAAAATGTACAAATTATTAATTCACATTATTACGTACATCAATATCATTTTTATTATTATAATCAAAATGTACAACTCTTAGTAAAATTGGTACATCATATCATTAAAAACTGGATATGGTATCGAGTGGTCCCATGCATGAATTTCATTTTATCCGATCCCATTGTTAACAATTAAGTTATCGAGTGGTCCCATGCATGAATTTCATTTTATCCATTCGTTAACAATTAAGTAATTCAAAGTAGAATGGTACAAAGATCGATTTCTTTACTATTGACAGTTGTATACTTTTTCTATTTGTTGCATGCAGTTCAAAGAGTCAATATGTATCATTAAGGTTTGATTTTGTAACCTTCCTCATAGGAGAGCAACAGAGACCATTAGACCTTCCATCTGAGCACAATAAACTCTGTTACAAATTACAATGCAGTATATGTTCATAACTACTTTCTCAACCTACTGAAGCTGTTAATAGTCCACCTCCGGTCCATTGAAACTTGAACCCACAACCTCTCATATAAGAGAGCAACTTTGTGCCACTAGATGACAAGATCTTTAGCGTATAGGTTTTAATTTGTTCACTATATTTTTTGTTTCTTGTAGGTTTAATATAATTAATTTTTACAATACAGTATAGGTTTTAATTTGTTACAGGAATCTATGCTAAATAGATTTATTTATTAGCATGCAGTTAACAAGTGAATGCCTTTTTTCCCAAAAAAAAAAAAAAAAAAGCGAATGCCTGATTGAAGATATAGAGTCATGAACCTGCGTTGCTGGGCAGTGGTATTATTACCATCATCATTACTATTATTACTTTTTTTTGAAAGCTACTGGTTCTATTACATTGTAGTATCTGT